AATACATGGAAAGGCTGGAAGCGTAAATCTTCTAACGACAACCGTCGCCGAAAAAAGTTTAAATTCTCTCTGTGTTCTCAGAGCCACTCTTTCAAATGCATTTTTAGCTTTAAAGGAGCTCCCAAAATAAGAAAAAAACAGCGAAACCTGATCAACTGGGAATACCCTGGCAACAATACCGCATTCTTTTGCTTCCTGCGCCGTTATGGGTTTTCCGGTCAAGCATACTTCCATTGCTACTGATTTGCCAGCAACACGTGCCCATCGCTGTGTACCACCGGCTCCTGTAAAAAAACATCTGCTAATGCCAACACAAAAACCTCAACGATCGAAACAACACTTGAAAAACAATTCGCAACCAAACCAATAACAAAAAAAAAAAAAATAGGCAAATCTCTCACACCTGACACTAGTGACGAAGCCGAAATTAATCACCACCAGCAAAATCCCTGCCCAAAGCCACCGAGATGACTGAAGTGCAAATACTCGACCAGCTCAAACGAATCTCAGGTGATTGTCTCTAATTCGACCCTTGCCCCCTGTTCTCCTCAGTATACGTAGACTATTTAGCTACAGTCTGATGATGTGTGTTTTTTAAGCTTATGCAAATGAACAAAAAACGATAGGCCACATCCTGTGTGCTCCTTTTCTGTTATCCATTTCTAAATTAGCGACCGAACAACTCAGAAACTAACTTTGTAGTTACTCAAATTTTAATTATCAACCTTTAAAATTCGCTATATCTTAAGCTATAACCTCAGGCAAATGAGGATCTAAATTTGAGCTCTTTAAACGAAATTGTGCAGAAAACACGCCTCGAGTAACACTTGCTGGAAGCAAGCAAGTATTACTAACGTTTGGAAAACTCTGTTCTCGCAGATTTACAAAAATAGGCTAACCTCCCTCATTTCTTGCAATGTACAACATGTTTATTATGAGTTGCCATGTGCAGAAACAAGTCAAGTGATAGTGGTTACTGAACATTTCTCATATAGCAAATTGCACAGGATTTTCTAGAAAGAACATCGCACTGACCTGGTATAGTTCCTATGGTAACTTCCGGTTGACCAAACATGGCCTTCTCACCGGCGTAAATGATATCACACATCATGGCCAATTCGCAACCACCACCCAGAGCATGCCCATTCACCGCGGCAATAACAGGCTTCCTCATCTTTGACACCTGTGACCACGCTTGCAGCAAACTGCCGGATAAAGCCGTTGCAAGCTCGGTTCCACGAAGCTCCTTGATATCGGCGCCAGCTGCATTTCGCATAACGTTTAAAGGTCTGTCAGCTTCATTTCCACATATTTTTGCAGTTTTCAACATGTCATTTGAAATCAATGAAGGTTATGAAGTCACTTGTTCGTGAAATTCCGCGGTACGGGATATGGTGCCAATGGGGATTCCTGTACACATTTCCTCCTACGGCGATTATCAATACAGAGAGGATTACTGGAAAGTAAGAATTGGAGAGGATAAGTTATCGGCGAAACAGTTTTTCTGTTGAGGGAGTGAAACGAGCAAAGAAATGGGCACAAGGATCAACAGGAGGCTGATCACCAGATGATACAACATCGGTATCAACAAAATTCAACAGGATGCCAGATGCGTCAAAGCCGTGAAGATATGCCGCGATAAAACGATAGCTCACTGATAAAAGTACCAAAAGTGTCGTGGAAATTTTAAGAATACAAACAGCGGATTCCGTGGCTGGGAGGTTCGAAGAAAGCTTAAAATTGTCCATGTATTAACATGTGCAGTTGATTTAGCGTTGCTAGCCCATCGTGGAGAGGAAGTGATTGAAACAACTATTTATACTATTTGATTGACAAAGACCTTTTTAACGAAAGGTAAAAAATGCTTCATGAATTCAATTTGGCTTTTACTTTGTAAAATACCTCATTAATTGCAACGGT